CTCCTTATTCCTTCCCTTTGAAGTGAGTTCTCCCTTGATTCTTGAGCTTGGATGCTTCCATCCAAGGCTTGAGCCTTCATCCATCCGTGTTCCTTCTACATTCAAGAACAATTCCATTCGGTGATATTTCCTTGAAGAAGATCCGTGCCTAGGAGGAACTTAGGAGGAGTTCATTCTTCACCTCTCCTACTTCCTTCCATCAATTTTGGTATCAAGAGCAAGGTTCTTCAAGGAGATAACTGCTTCATCTTTTGTGTCCGAAATTTGTGTTCAATGTGTTCTTCTTGTCTTGTTTGAGTTTTTCAATTCGGATCTATATGCTTTGAATCACATTTTTTGTTCCATAGATCCATTGTTTGATTATTTTGAATTTCTTTAGTGTTCCTTTTTATTTTATCATTTTAGTAATAAAACACATTCATCTAAATAAAATTGATTGTGGCTTAATAATAGGTACTTAGGGCAACTAAAATCTTATGTACGTAATAAAGCACGACCAGAAGGCTCTATAGCAGAAGGCTACCTTATGCAAGAGATTCTTACATTTTGTTCAAGGTATTTAGATAACATTGAGACAAGATGGAATCGACCTGGTCGTGTAGATGATGAGCCATATGATAGACAATCTCAATCACAAGTAGGTTGTTTCACAAAAATTATAATTGGGAGATTTCTATGGAGGAAAACTGTCAGATGCACCCACCAGAGATTGACCCAGACCATTGGAGGCTTTTTGTACAATTTCGGACGAGTTCTAAACAAATGGTAATATGTTTTCATCTTCCATTGGTTATAAGTTTGGTTACATATATTGACTTTTAATTTTGTTAAATGTAGGACATATCTGATAAAAATGCAACAAACCGTGAAAAGTTATTGATCCCACACACTCTAGGATCAAAGACATTAGCAAGAAAAAGGGATGAGTTGGTATGTAAAGTTCATTTAGTCTATTTTGTTTGAAAAAATTGAAAAAAATTGTTTGTATAATTATTTTTGGTATGGTGAAAAATGTTAGGAAGTGCAATATGGACGACGTTATAGTAGAGGAGATATGTATCCTATTGCTCATAAAAAGAAGGATGGATCATTTGTGAACGAAGATGCTAGACAAAAATATGTGAGTACAATATATTATTTGTAATTTTCAATTGCCATTTGCTTTTCACTCATATAAGTAATCTTTTACTATTTATCTATGTATTCAACATTATATGTAGGAACAATTGCATAATGAAATTCAGGAGACTTCTTCTGAGAATGAGGCATTCTTGAAAGTGTTTGGAAAGGAGCATCCAGGATATGTTCGAGGCATGGGACTTGGGGTTACTCCAACTCAAATCATTGGATCATATTCTTCCTCTACGAGGTCAGGATCTTCATCAGATGCAGCCACGATAGCACAATTGCGATCTGAAGTTGAAGTACTTAAGGCACGAGTTGGTGAAGTTGATGTTTTGAAGGAACAATTAGCTTTCCTTATGCAAATTGTTAAAGGAAATCAGGTATAAAATAAAGTATTTAAAAAATTGTAAATTTTATTGTCTAAGTAAAAGTTCAAATCTAATTTGTTATTATTTTAATTTCAGGCAACTGAATTGGAATCTCCAGCAGATTTGAGACGTTCTTCTCAGTCTAGCCATATTCCTGAAGATAATGGAGGATCATCATGAGAGACTATTTAGATATTTGCTTCAATTTTAGTTTGTTAGGAGCTTTTAGGACCATCTTTATATTTTTGTTGTTTTTATGTGCCTAAGTTTCTTAAACTTAAGGACCATTTCTATGTTTGAAAGATGCAAATCTATTATGTACTAAATTTGGATTTAATATCTTTATTTAATGAATGACATTTTTATTTGTATCATTTGTATTAGTTTATCTTGATCACATGTTTGAGATAAGAATTTAAACAAACAGGTTGAAAATGTAATTATAAAAAACATTTAATTATAAATTGGATGCGAACTAAATTGTGGCGGTTACAAACTGCTGCAAATTGTTAATTAAAATGAATGTTCAAATTTGCGGCAGTTTTCAAAACCGCTGCAAAGTTTTTGAAAACCGCCACAAATTTTTTACTAATTTCAGTTTCCAAAATAGCGACAATTTTATAACCGCCGCAATTTTATCGAATATGTTGCGACAGTTTAGAAAACCGCCGCAAAATTTAGTCGCGACGCACAAGATTGCGGCGGTTTACAAACCGTCGCAATATAAGTTTGCGGCGGTCAAAACCGCCGTCGCTCTCACTAAAAAACCGCCGCAAACAAACAAGTTTTTTGTAGTGCCCTAATGTTGGGAAATCAACTCATTAAAAGAATGAGATGTGAATTCACCAGCATTATCTAAACGAATTTTCTTAATTGGATAGTTAGGAAAATGAGCTCTTAATCTAATTAGTTGAGCTAATAATCTCGCAAAAACGTCTGGTTGCGAATTGATAATAAACAAACATGTGACCATATTTTTGATGCATCAATTAAAATCATAAAATATCTAAATGGTCCACATGGGGGTATATTGGTACACAAAGATCACCTTGTATCCGTTCTAAAAATAAGATAGATTCATCCCCAATTTTTGCTGGTGATGATCTGATTATTAACTTCTCTTGGGAACAAGCAGTAAATGAGAAAATATTTGATTGAAGAATCTCCTAGCTCTTCAATAAATGTCCACATGAATTTTCAATTATTTTTCGCATCATGATATTCTTAGGGTGACCCAACCGGTCATGCTAAACCTCAAATTTATTTTGATTTGTAAACTTCTAGTTTACAATAGTATATAATTCAACTGTATTAATATACATGCAATACAGTCCATAGGAAAAAGAAAATAATTTTTCCAATACTTTTTTTTATTCAAGTGGAGTTTCATGATATAAATATATTATACATTTCCTTCATTATTTGTTTCAATGTGAAACTCATTTAAACGAATATCCTTGAAACTCAATAAGTTTCTGTAAGACAGAAAAATATAATGCATTTTTAATATATAACTTCGTTTCTTTTAGTAATAATATATTAGCTCTTCTAGAGCCTTCAATTATATTTGTAGTATCATATAACATTAATTTCTTGCATTATTGAATATGAGAAGACAAAAATTAATACATTATAACATTTACTTCAGGGAAAGAAATAATGCTAGTTAAAATGATCTCTTGCATAAAAAAAATTTCAATATTTTGTTTTAGTTTTTAAGAGATAATAAACCAACTAAAGATATTTCTTAATCCTTTTTTTTATAAAAAGATATTGCTACTTCTGGAACAAAATAAATGTATGAAAAATATAATATACTTTTCAAATTGAGAAATTATTATAAAAATGACATTCTGGTGAAATTTAGTTTTTTTTCCACTTTTCATATTATTTTCTCACTTCTAGTGAGAAAATTTATTCTTTCGTTTTCATTTTTTTCATCATTTTCTCACTTCTGGTGAGAAAAAAAATATTAAAATATCTTTATTTGACAATATTTTCTAGACCATTATAAAAATATTTTTTTTTTTTTGATTTTGTCTTTAAAATCAATTATATTTAAATAAATTTCACAATCATAAAAATACAAGTATTCTATCAAATTCATAATATAAAAAAACATGATTGCATAATAATGACAAAATATATTACGTCAATGAAATATTGATATTTCTCACTTCTGGTGAGAAAAAAATAATAAATTAAAAGAGATTGAATATTCTCTTTTGATAGCATCTTCTAGACACATTTAAAGAATGTATAATTTTTTTTATTTAATAGTATCTTCAGGACTACTATAGTGTCTTCAAGATTAATTTAATACATAACAATGTAAACAATACAAATATTTGATAAAATTCTTATTGTGGAAGATGAATAACTAACCTTGAAATATTTGTTTTGAAAAATATGATTTTCTTGATGAAAATTCTTCATAGCTTTGTCTTAAAGTTGCAACACCAATAGCGGAAAGACTATCGTGCTGATAACGTGTTATAAAAGAAAGAAAAATAGAGAGAACAAAGAAAATAATATGAGATGGAGAAAAAAATCTGACTTGTATATTATCTTTGGGAGAGGAGTAACTTATTTATAAGTACATGTGGTAACTGAACAATTACACAATAAAGGGAATAATACATAACAAAAATATAAATGGTAATGACTGATAATGAATATTGACATCCACTAATTAAGCAACTAATTATTATTCATAACAGATAACAAGTTTTGTATTTTTTAATTCGTGATCCAAACTTGATTATATGTAATAAAAATATAATAATAATAATAATAAGTTAATGTTTGAATGATCACTTATTCATGATAATACTTTTTGTTACTCTTGATCTATAACGAATTTTGTGTTTTTAATTTATAACATTATAACAATACAACATAGTTAATTTAAATTTTATTTTATATTAATGTTAATTAGTTGTTTGAATCGATAATAATGTAACAAATTAAGAAATTTATTTTAAAATTGAATTTGTATCATTATTTATTTCATGAGTTGAAAACATTATATTTGCAACAAGTTATCAAATAATTTACATATATTATGAAATATTTAAATTTTACAATTTTTTTTTAATTATGTTTGAATTAATTGATTAACTCAATCTAATTTGTTCGTGATTAAATTAGGTTAGATTAAATTTAAAAAAAAATATAAATCTAACCCAATTTAATCTATTAAATTTTGATCGGATTATTAAGATAGAACTCAACCTCCTTACCCTCTTATATCTTTTATAGTAAATTTGACAACTCTGTTGCATACATACAAAAATGTGTTCCGATATATATAAACGAATAAATGAATGTATCTTAACATTTGTGGTTGGAAGATTATGTGAAACAACTTGGTAGAGAAAAATCAAAACGGAACAATATTAGTGTTATATTATTGTTGTGCCAGATAATGCAACGACAAGCAAGGGCCCCTCAATTATAAGTTATCATGTCATAAGAATGTTTGCTTTCCCATTTAATTTAATTCCACCCTCCATGCCTTAGTTCTTCTCTAGTTTCATTTCTGGGCAAGTAAAACCTAATTAATTAATTAGTTCAAACACTGCAGACAAAACATTTCTGTATTTATATATATGACACATCAATCACCACGGCACCACTCACACACATGCATGGTGGGAAATTATTGAGTTAGTTTGTTTCTCATTTAAAATTTTTGCCCCCTCCATACCACACTAATTATTAATATCTGTACAGGTTCTATATCTATATATTTAATAAAATACAATGGAACTTTAACGATTTATTTCAAGGATCGCATCTTCCTTAATTTTGTTGCATTGTATTCATATAATATTTTTTAATTGAATTGTCGTACATTTCATTTTCTTATATTATTCTTTAAGTGTCATATATTTTAAGATAATTCAAAAATTTAATTTATTTGTGAAATTATTTTAAATTTGAATTTAAATTTAAAATAATTATTTTATTGATTATAGGTTTTAAATTTTAATTAATATTAATTTTATTTAATTTTTAAGGATCAATATTTTAAAATTAATTAGTTTTGATTCTCATGATTAATTATAGTCTAAATGATTGGTATTTCCTTTTATAAATATTGAGAATTAGTAACCATTTGTATTGAATATTACTCTTTCTATATGTTTTCTCTATATGTGAAGAACTTGTCAATTCTGTATTCTTTTCTAACATTGAGAAGATCCTATTGTATATTGGGGATAAGTGTCCTTTAGGACAATACAACTCAACATTCATTAATAATAATAAATTTATTTAAATTATAATTAGTGAATTGTAATCCTTTTTAAAAAAATTCATGTTTTTTCTTGATATTTATACTTCTAAATTTTCATTTTTATAGTTATTTTTCCTATATTTCTTAATAATAAGAAAATAACATTAATTTTAAAAATTTACATATTTAATTCAATATATTAATCTAAAAAAAATAAAAATGTAACTTAACATCCTTTAATCATTAATTTATTAATGTTTTTCTTAATAAGTTAAATAAAAACATAGCTGAAGGTTTATTTATATTTTTGTTTATGCTTCACTAATAATATATTTAATTTTCATAATATTTGTAAAAAGAATTAGTAAGATATATATATTTTTTTGTATCTCTCTTCTCCTTCTAAATTTGAGTATCAATTAACAGAACTTTTAATTCGATTTGATTATAAATATAAACTTAGCTCGCAAAATATAAGTATATATGAACTTTATAATAAGACTTGAGCTTCATTTTAGAAGTTCCAATTAAATCTAGATTTTTTTGTTTGACTCGATATACTATGCAATTCAGCTGTCTTTGAGTTCGTAATCAACTAGTTTTAATTTGTTCGATGAAATATAGGATTAATTTTATCTTTAAATTTCAAACAAAAATTAAATTAAATCTTAATATCGTGGTCCGATACGGTAATTGGCTTTATATAGGTTTAACTTGTAAAAGCCAATGAAAGATCTTCAAAATTTATCTTTTATTTTTTCTTCTTCTCTCAAATCTCAATGTAGCTCGATCCAGATGTAGTGTTTAGCAATGCAAACACAACCTTATATCCAAAGAACGAGGTAACTTCACCAGGTTGTTACACTAGCCAATCTCAACCTTTGTAGTCCTCATTTTCCCTAACTCGTGCACACACAACGTAACAAATGAAAGATTACATGACGTCACCAAAATATCATACAATATATACAGGATGATAACCAAGAAAGCCATCATGCAATAAAACCACAATCAACATCTCCAACAATTATAAAAACACAAGTACAATATGATAAAGAACTTGCAGATTATCTACCCTTAAGCTCCCTTGGTGCCTTTAGCGACAGTGACACCATAATCTGTTGCTTGCTC